GACACTCGCCCCCAACCTCGTTCCGATCCCAACCTCCCCTGACTCTAATCTAATCATGATCCGCACGCACATCAACCTATTTCCCGACCGTTCCATCCCCGATACCGACCCCATCCCACTGAGACGCCCATCCAACCCCATCTTACCCCTGCGCCCAATCTGCCCCTGACTCGCCCTGAATTCAATCCGACCCTGTCCACAACTTCTCTGAACCCATCCCACTGCAAAAGCGTTTCTTTTACTGCGTCCTCGCCGCTCCCCCACTGGTCAAGCCGATCCCCAAGCGGGGAGGCTAACCGCGCAATATCTGCTCCTTTAGCCGTCATCGATTTCGTTACTATCGAGTCCCAATCCCCATCCTCTGTTCTCATCATCTTCCTTACGCCCGTATCAGGTCCTGATCCGGCCGCTATAGGCGGCCCCGGTCCCAACCTCGAACTTGCTCTCTCTGCCTTAGAAGGTGATCTTGGGATAGACAGTGCTGTAGGGGATCGAAGGACTTACAGTGCACAGAACAATGGAGGGAATGGGGATGGAGACACAGAATTGGCTGGCAGAGCAAACCAGGACACCACTAATTAAGACAACCAAAAGCATTGACCAAGGAGCGAACAACAAAGAAGAGGTAGTGGTGTATGAATGCCCAAAGGAATTAACAGCCAAACAAACTGAGCTCCACCAAAAGCACGCAGTCCTTCTCACTTTTTCCAAAAGAAGTCAGGAACTGGATAGGCAGGCCAAACTGAGGTGGATTTGGGAAAAGTTGAAGAGTCTAGAAGCCATCCAGGGACAAGAACTGAAAGTCAAAGTGCTTCACATGCAACTCCTCAGTCGTTACAGTACACCCGTGGAAACAAGCAGCGAACTTCCAGCAAACTCCGTTCAGATATAGGCAGGATCTGATCAAAAAGCATTTTTGGATTCAGTTCGACAACGTTCCGGAAGGAATGCACGGCTGCATCAAGGAAAGGGTGAAAATCGAGTTCGGACATTTTAAGGGGGTTCACTGGATAGTATCAACGCCGGACTTCCTCACCCCCCAGCACAACCAGATGACAGTGGTGCTGGAAAYGGGCAACAACACTTTGCCTTTTGTCCCAGATGAATGGTTCTTCGCTCAGGAAGACAAAGTCATTAGGATGACAGTTTCCAGCAAAAACAACCCTTTATGCTTCAAATGTAGACAAAGGGGACATCTGGGGACGRATGCAAGSTGCCCAAAGACCAAWGAAACAGTCAAGCSAAAAGTGCTGWAARCSGCCAGTCTGCAGGAAGTAGCTGACAAAAAGGGCTACTGGTACATACCGGAGGCTCAGTATGCAGGTTGGGTGTTCAACGACAACCTGGATACCCCGGACTGGGTCTGGACCATCCAAGGAGAACCAACACCGAAACCGGACGTATACCCCCCGTACGAAAGCAGATGGCAAACGCTAAACACAGGAAAGAAATCTCCCAAAAGCTTTATGAGGGACCCAGTAATTAACATTGAGACGTTGAAGCAGGAAATCTGGGAGAGGGACCTCAGCGCCGATCTGTAGTCAGTACAAAAGAATATCGAAAGGGGATGGGTCGAAGCAGTGAAGAAGTACCAGGGGGAGCACTGCGTGATACTATCTTTTCTCTTAGCACGAAATGATGAGGAATTTGGTTGCAAGCAGCAGGTTTTCTTATTTCAAAGACATGACGGAAAGGCATGCAATGTGATAGAGGACCTGTTGCGGCAGTTGTTTGTCTTCATTTCAGCCACTGAAGAACATTAAGTTATCATTAGTCTCAGAACACCCCAGGACCTTAACCGATGTGCCATTGTTTTTGTAACCTGAACAATAGTAAGTTTCAGTTGCAGGGAGACTCTGCCCGTTCAGGGGGTCAGTAAAGTTATAGAGGAAATCATATCGAAAGAGATGAAGCCTCGGAGAAGAAAGGAATGCTGCTGATGTGAACTTGTGGTTTTATGACGCCATCATGTGCTTGGTTGGTGGTTGCTGTCCTTTCTCTACAGGGCGAGGTATCAAACCTAGGCAGCTCCATCATTCACACTGGGGCATCATCTGCCCTGCAGAAACGCCGGAAGGAGAGGTAACTAATCTTCATTCCCTTGCTGACCTCAGCACTATTGATGCGCGACTCTCCTATGTTACTAGTCTATGCACCATTCTATAACTGGCCGGCCACACCCTCCTTGCCGTGCGCCGGTTTTTCTCCCTCCCATTGGTTCGATAGCAGTGATCTGGGTTCCGGGTTCTGAAGTCGGATCTCAACTGTCGAACCACCAGGTCACCTGAAGCTCGGTGTGTGCAGTAAGAGCAAACTGCTTCGTGCCTGGGCTGGTAGTCACCTGTGGAGGCCACTAAGAAAAGGTCCAGTTGGAGGCTCTGGAGCTTCGGAGGGTAGCTCCATAGAGATAGGTTTTTTCTCTCTTTTGATATTTGTTCAGATAGCTGTAGCCTTGTGGCTGAGAGTCTGAGACTCAATTCTATTCTGGGGCTTCCGTTCAGTTCTTTTGTTTTGCTTTTTTGTTTTTGAATCAAATCCATTCAGTGAAAGGGATACCTGTCACACAAAATGCTTCCATTTGTACAGCCAAGGGAATGTCGGGTGAGCAACTTGGAATGGTTAAGGTTAAGATGGTATAAGGACACATGCAGTGAACAAGCTTGGACAGCAGTGAGCAGCAGTTTGAAGACTTCAATCCATCCCAAATGGTCTGTACTCTGGAGTCTGAACGGAAAAGGAAATACTAAAATAGGCCTCAGCAACCCTAGGTCCTTACGGGTCTGGTGCCATATCGATTCTAGGGGCCACAAGTCTGGTTCCTCTTTCCCGTTAACTCAAAGGATACAAGTACAGTAAGTAAGCCGATTTTTGACACTTCCCTGCCTGCTGGCTTTGGGAACCGTGACAGCATTGATTGTTTCCATTGGAAGGATTGACTATCAGTGTGTTCCTTCAGAAGGATTGGCAGTCAGTCTAGCCCACACTTTAATTCAAACCCGTCCCCCCTATCAAAATAGTCTCCCCCCAAAAAAGACAGAACTATTCAGACTGAATATGAGGCTTAGTTCTCACATAAGGATTACCAGAAGTCTCAGTCTATAACCTTATACGATCAGAACTGACCACTGGTGAAGATCTGCTGCTGTACAAATCCATGTGGTCAGGAATTGAAGAAAAACCTGAGAAAGATTCTTAGTGCTGAACCTGGTATAAAGAATATGGAGGGACGGAGACCTGCGGGGGAAGAGACAATGAGCCCTAGGAAAGGTAACCAATCCCTCCCTGCCTCAACACAACACCACTGCTGAAGACATTACCCCCAGTGTAAAGACGACGTCATTGACGCCAAAGTACGCCAGGTAATCGCTCCTCTAGATGATATCCATACATAAGATGTCCAACAGTTGGTTCAGCACATGATCGGCACCTGATCATCCCTACCTTCAATTCCTTGTATATTCAATAGAGTGAAACTTCCCCACTGAGCAAAACATGCCAGCGGTACTCGAGTCCTCTCTGAACCGTACGAGATAGTCACCTATCATACGGCTCTCTATTCTACTTGCTTCGTAGTTCCAGTCTTCGAGTGAGTGAGTTGAGTGAGAGGCCGAAGTAAATAAAAGAAAACGCAAGAGCGCCCATAGGATCACATATACAGACGATTTAAATGGGATTTGAACCCATGATACAATCGTGTTGTATGTTGATTTAGCAAACCAATGCCTTCAGCCACTCAGCCATACCTCCCGGGAAAAATGGGATTTGAACCCGCGACTTCTGGCGTGACAGACCAGCGCATTCACATACATGAAGCCAATAAAATTCCCCGCCATACCGTCTCTCCAGACGTGGATAAGTACGAGCTCAACCTCGTCACTGTCAATGCTGTCTGTATCCACTCAAAGGTGACCCAGAGGAGGCAGAAGCTGAGGGAGGCATACTATGGTTGCCCATCCTCAACAGTGAAGAAAAGGACTATTGGATCGCTTTGGAGTTTGGACAGTAGGGAGTGTGAAAAAGGTATGGGTTCTAAATGGACTCCTCTTCTGAGAACTTATCTTTCAATAGCTCACTAAGAGCTGTGCTGTGGTAACTGGAATTTTCCTTGTGCAGCCCTGTGGACTCGTCAAGAACATGTCACTGATGGCATGTGTCTCTGTGGGCGTTAGTGTTTCCGAAATACAGAGTGCAATTGATGGCATGCTTGACCTGGAGGAACTCAAGGTGGGTGGTTCCAGCCACAGAATGCTTGTTTTTTCAAAACTGGGGTAGCTTCAAATGTTCTTGTATCAATGAGGGGTTCTGCATTTGTGTGAACTCATCAGCTGTATGCCAACAGCTATTTGTGTGAACAATGCAGCTTCCAACTTCCGAAAGCACTCTACAAAACACGGCCAAAGGTGTCCCCTCTTGTGGCAGATTGTTTTCTTTTCTGTTGGGTTTTATTCCGTCTTATTCAACAGAGAAAGTTCTAGTTTTGAATTTTTCAGCCTTGCAAGAAGCGCTTCACTGAATGTGTGAAACTCAGCCCGACGTGGAAACCTTGGGGAAAAAGAGATTTGCGGCAGCATTTGCCAAATTTGAAAATGTGCAGGAGAGGTGCTAATGTACTGAAATGGGGGCTCTGTGAGTGCCACCGCCTTTCTCGTGACTCTGTACAATTTGGCCGCTGAAGTGTATGCTGGCTGAAAAGCTTTGGCTATACCTACCTCAGTCTTCCCTGTCTCGGATTCCAAGCCCATTCTGCCGGGTCTACTTCTAGATCTTAGGAGTGTTGCAAGTGAGTGAAAGATAATTAGGTTCTCATGTTTTGTTACTCTTTACTTTCCTAAGCAGCTGCCTTCTTACCACCACCTGTACTTCTGAATCCGTACCCACTTATAATGATCTGCTCCTGGGTCATCTATCTCATGTTCCTAGAATCTGATTGAGTTTTCTCTTCCATTTTCCACTCCCCAGTATGACAACGCTTGTGTGCTACTCAAAGTATTAGTCATAACTGCCCAATTCACCCGTTCCCCCGCTCCCAGGTAAGTCATAAATGACCCAATCTTTTTGTGGCATTAGAGCGCAGATTTCCTGTAGGCTCCTCGCCACATGATATCCTTTTAGGTCCATTCTGAATCAGGTTCTGTACTGCAAATCCCTTGTATTATCTTTCCGGATATGGTTGACCTGCCATATGCCTCTTTCTAGCCATGAACCCCATTTGGTATCTTTGGATGTGAAGGTGAGAGGTATGCCATGTGAGATCAATATCCCTGTAAAAGATACCTCTATTACAAAGGAGGGGCTGCCTCAGTACTTCCTGGCTTTTGCTGAGAAAAAAAAATGTTCTCTGCTTTGTATTGTTCGTGCCGGAAAACCAGACATGTGTTACTCCTGGTAGGGTCCATTCTGTCTTGTACCATTCATTGCAAACGACTTATTCCTCACCCAAAATTTATTGCCAGGTTACTTTGGGAGAAATAGGCTGGGAGCTGTTTCAACTTTAAAGCTTTCTGGTGCTGCTAGTGAGTTCCATGGAATGCTGGGATGGATGATCAGTTTTTTTAATCCATTTAGTTTGCGATGCTTCACTTTGCAATGGTGGGTCTATAACTCAGAGGCGTCTATAATGCAGAGGCCGTTCCGCTGTTTGTGCGTTACATAATGCCTGGCTGCTTCACTGTTGAAGTTTGTTTTGGAGGGGTTGCCTGTCATCCTTCCCTCAGGGAGAATCAATGCCGTACTTTGGGCCTTCCCGCCATAAGGGGGAGGAGCGTGAGTGAGTACGCATTGTAATCCTTTCTGACCTCCCGCCGTTGCTGGGGAACAGGAACCGGACTGATGCTTCCCAGAATGGAAAAGGAGCCCGAACTGTTAGCTTTTTTTTCTTTTTCTTTTTTTTTTGGAGGCTGGCTGGCGGCTGCCACAGAGTGCACATTACACTTTGATCCAAGTCCTGTATTCTAGAAAGCACAGTGGAGTCACTTTTATCCACCCATGGCAACCATTCAGGTGTGGGTCTATGTAT